AGTAAGCTAAAGTATGTCACATTTCTGTTGAAGCTTATACCTTGTATATATTTGAATACAGATTTGTAATGATGAAATTGCAATTAAGTATTTTTAATATATTTACTTGCAATATATTATTAATTTAAATATAAGTGCAATATAAAAAAAACACACTGCAATTAAAATTAAAAGTAAATCTACACATCCAAATAAGTATATACGATTTTAAAGCACAACAGAAGATCGATTTAAACAGTGATTTAAAATGTACTCCTAAAATGTTTCATTTGCAAACTGTACTTTATAAGAAACATAATAATGAAAGTGAATTCTCTTTAATTACACTTTAAGATGCCATTTCATTAATATTGGATTCTCTGTAAGCACAACTTTTTAATGTACTTTAATATACTATACTAGATTTTAATATACTAGTTTTGAAGTGCACTAAAAGTGCACGGTTCATCATTCAATTAAAGGGATAGTTCACCCAAAAATGAAAATTTGATGTTTATCTGCTTACCCCCAGGGCATCCAAGATGTAGGTGACTTTGTTTCTTCAGTAGAACACAAACGAAGATTTTTAACTCAAACCGTTGCAGTCTGTCGGTCTTATAATGGAAGTGAATGGGAATCACGGCTTTGAGAGTAAAAAAAACATACACAAACAAAACCAAATTAAATCCTGCGGCTCGTGACGATACATTGATGTGTAAAGACACGAAACGATCGGTCTGTGCAAGAAACTGAACAGTATTTATATAATTTTTTTACCTCTGATGCACTGCAATGTCTGAACTGTCCTGAGCGCGTCCTGAGTGCGTCCTCGACAGCCGGCGCGTGACGCGTCTTCTTGCTTTATGGCGGATCGCAGACTTATAAGTGCATTACGAGAGATAGGTGGCGGTAATGCACTTATAAGTCTGCGATCTGCTGTAAAGCAAGAAGAAGATGACACCTCAGCGCCGGCTGTCGAGGACGCGCTCAGGACAGTTCAGAGAGTTTAGACATTGCAGTGCATCAGAGGTAAAAAAATTATATAAATACTGTTCAGTTTCTTGCACAGACCGATCGTTTCGTGTCTTTACACATC